TTTAAATTGAAATCGGTTTTAGAATAACCTTCTAATATATTTGCAGATCATTTCCATATTTCAATAATCCCTGACTGAAGTGGCAATTGATTTACATCAGCCAATCAGACGAAAGTTTTCTTATAACTTTAAACTATGTTACGAACTATTTTCAATAGAAATTTTGGATCGCTAAAACATTTAAATCCAATAATGACGACTACTTTAGATTATAGAAATAAGATAATTCTTGCTCCAATGGTGTGTCTTACGTTCTCGTAACTTTCTAAAGGTTTGATGTATTTTCTCATTTTCTTTCAATAATATAGGTCAGAATCGGAACTTTACCGATGCGACTTTTAGCCTTAGAATACGGCGCAGGTATAAACTTATTATATAATACTCTTGGAATATATAATTATGCTAATATTATGATACTAATTATACGTATATTTAGATCTAGTTTATTCACCCGAAATAGTAGATAAGAAAATGATTGCTTCAGAACGGCAATTCAACGGTAAACATCGGAAATTTTTCCGGCTAGAAAACTATCAATAATTTATAATATATTGGAAATTCTTCCTTGCAGAAAAGACGGGGATAATTTCATATGTAGATAATAAAAATTCTGTGTCGTTTACAACTCATCCGATTGAAAAATCAAAATTAATTTTTCAGATTGGAACAGCTGATCCTGATCTCGCACTGCAAGCGGCATTGAAAGTGTAATAAATTCTAGAATTTTTTAAATCATATTTATTGCATATGAAATGATTAGAAATTTATTTATAAAAAAAGTGATTGATCTTTTTTTATTGTCTAGAAAACAAGATGTTGCAGGCATCGACGTAAATTGTGGTTGCCCCAAAAAGTTTTCTATCCAAGGTGGTATGGGTGCGGCTTTGCTATCAAATCCAGATAAATTGAAGGCCGTAAGTATAATCTTTATCGGGGTACTTTTAATCGTTTAAAAAGTTTTTATTTATCGACCTTTATCGTTTTATAGATATTAATAAATTTAGTGCAAAATTGTGGCCTTCCTGTGACTTGTAAAATAAGGTTAGAAATTTTAAGTTTTTATATTTATTCTATATAAAAAATGGACCGATTTTGATTTCTTTCTATGTAGGATGCTAGATACTAAAGAAAAAACAATAGAAATTTGTAAAATGATAGAATCCACGGGAGTCAGGGCTATCGCAATTCATTGTAGGTGCGCATATATGGACCATTTGTTATTCGTTTAATGTTTTTTAAGATCATTATACGAAAATTTTTCAACTTAGAACACGTGATGAGAGACCAAGAGACCCTGGACATTGGGATATCTTCAGTGACATTGTTGAAAATATAAAGTCAATACCAGTTATTGCAAATGGAGATGTATTTCAACGTTCGGATATAGTAAGATTAAGAGAATTGTCAAGTAAGATAAACATAGACATTGTTATTTCTATAAATATTATCAACTTAATTAACATTTTTTAGATGTAAGTTCGATCATGATTGCTCGTGCAGCTGAAGATAATGTATCGATATTTCGTCAAGAAGGAACTTTACCACTTGAGGATGTTGTTATTTCATACATCAAAAAAGTTTGATACTTTCTTTTATTTCATAACATTGTGCTTTTGAAGTTTTTTAAGATATATGCTTATTTGTATCTTAATCACAGGCATTGGAAGTTGGCAACAGCTGGCCGAACACAAAATATGCCCTAATGCAAATGTACGCAGCACATTCGAAAGAACCAAAATATAAATTGTTAGTTCATACAAAATCGTATGAAGAGCTGTGTAAAATTTACGGCTTGGAAGCCTTTTTCGAAAAAGCGAATTTAACTGGACTACTGGCAAAAAATGGTAATGAGTTTTTAATTACTAAATAAAAGTGAAAAAAAATTACCGGTATAACTTTATCCCTCAATTATCTTTTTTGTTATAATAATGATGAATCATTTTTCTATCATAGGAAAAAATTTGATCAAATTTGATGTTTCTAATAAATTAGAAAATACGAGTAGTAACAAAAGAAAACATACAGAATATCAGTCAGAGCTTGAAAACAATAAGATAAAAAAGGCTAATATGAGAGACGAAAAAAAAGATCAATATTCAATATCTAATATTAATAATAATATACAATCATAAATCTTATTTATTGCCAAAATTTAAATTAATAATATTATGACATGCAATTATTATTATTATTTATTATTACAATTATTTTCTGTACGATTGCAATTAATAACTATACCGGTTGGGTGAAAGGGCCCTATACAGAACCTATTTACTATCTTCGCTAATAATAAAATTTTATAACTATATATATTTAAAAAAAAAACGGTATTCAAACTATATCATTTAGTATTAACAAAAGGTCTTGTTTCTTTTCACCCGCCTAGTATAAAATTTTTATTAAAAATATTTTATACAATATGTGATTATAAAACAACATTGTTAATATACAGCATATAGTGTTACAGTATCAGATATATAGCATATAAGATTTACCTTTAAAATACAGTTAAACCTTCCTAAAGCAACTTCTAATAAATGTATACGTAGCTTATAAAAAATCTCTGCGTATATGGCCTAACTCAACTTTCTAAATGTGATTTCTTTCTAAATGATTTTTCTTTTATATAAGCTCCTCAGCTATGCATTTAAAGAGGTCTATATTTTTTATTTATATTATATACAGTACGGGTAATAAAAAAAATTATTACGTTTTACGTATTTATTATCAGTTATATATTACTGTACATATTATCTAATACAGTAATAAATTATTATTTATCTATATTCGACAATGTTTTAAAGAATTGTTAAGTCATTTATGACAAACTGTAGTACGATTTTTCATTTTTAAGAATTGAATATTTCCTTAATTTATTATTCATTACGTATTTATTTACCTATCAAAAAAGTTATGCATTATTATACATCAGATCTATCCAAAAACGTGTTGATAGTATTTTTAATCTTGAATTTATTCCTGATACTCAATATGTGACTTTTATTCTTCAATGCTTGCGAACCAAAAAGAACCAATAGGTGCAAAGTCCGAAACTCTTCGACTGTCAGCTTTCTTGGCAGATAGTCTTTCTGTTGGATGTTTAAAGGTGAAAAAAAATTAAAATTTTATTAATATAATTAGCAACATTAGAACATTTTATAATTTATAAATCAAAATAACGATATAAAGGGATTTAAGCATTTTGAAGTATATGTGAGAGGTCGGGAAGAGCTGTTATTACGCGTTTACATTGATAGTCAAACCAGAAATTTAGCTGAAGAAAGCGATAGAATGAAATATAACTCTTTATCGCTTGCAAAATTTCAGTAAGTTATTTGATCTTTATACATAGTTAATTGATTCATAAATCGATTTATGTGTTTAAAATTTTTATGCAGGAGTAATGCATTGTTTTCACCGAAAACGCGGCGAACGTAAGCTTCATAAAATTATTGTTTATATTGCAAAATTAGTAAAGTTTCATAAATGGTCATTTATTAAAAATAGAATCAGTAACGGATCAGAGTCTATGGAAATGACATCACCGCCATCAAGTCCTTTAGATGAAGAATTGGCAAAGGCAAGCCAAAAATAATGATATAAAAGACGTAATTTTTGCGTAATATAATAAGATCTTTCAATATATAGGAAGAAGCAAACCATGTTTTCTTGATAGCTGGGTATGCAAGATATAAACGTCCATATGTTTGGGTAAGTAATAGAACGTGATAAATATGTTATAAAAAGTAATATTTAATAATTTTTCAATTATTTAAAAGTTGAGATCAAACCATAAGCGATTAATTCAGCTTCAAGATGATCAAAAATTGGAAACAGATAATCCTTTAAAACTTGATACTATAGCGGCGTGGAAAATTCAAGGTGCATAAATAATAAAAGATAATTCATTTTTAAAAATACATAATGTAATCAATATATAATTTTTAAATTTTTTTTTTTTTTTATAATGCAGATATAAAGTTATGGGATATAATTGCAGAAGTGATAACGTTGAGTCTTTCACCACCACCAGAAAATCCATTTGAAATAGATCATTCATACTATGATACATTGCCGCTTGAAGAATGTGCAGTAAGCACAGGTGCTATGGTGGATTTTCTTCAAAAAGTCTATTTGAAGGATACAAACTATGCGGACAAAGGTAAATGAATGGCTTGCAATATGAGTGCGTGAGAATGAAAACCAGGAAATAAAATTTAACCAATCATAAATTTTATTTCCTGATTTTCACTCTCACGCATTCATATAATAAATAATATATAGTTCTTAATATAATAACAGATAATGTAACTAGCAATAAAATAAGTTTAACCAATAATGTGTATTTACATTTCTATTAGTTTTTGAAGATATAAAAATATTACAACAACGACATTTTGCAGCATTTGACGAAATGAATGAAGCGTTAAACGCCAATGCATTAGAAAAATCGAATCCCTCTTCAGGTGTATCAGCAATTAATTGAGGATATCTACTGTGATAAAACCCACCCACAAAGCTAAATGATTTTTAACGTGCTTGGGCGCAGCAATTTGGACGAAGAACATTTGTTAACATCCGTGCGCAGTTGTCGCTGTATGTAGGAATCTTGTCTGTAAATCTTAGTTGTTTATTCGGTCGATTTATTTGAGGATATAACTGTAGTTTATCATTTTATTTTTTAAAATAAGGTGAAATTTCATCGATATAGGAATCGAGCATTTTTCAAACCGTTTTTACATCATATTAGCAATACATATATATATATCAAATAAAAAATTAAAAATTTGAATAAAAATACAATGTATATCAATAACAAAACAAACAAATAAATAAATAAATAATGATAATTCATACTATTCTACCACATATGTACAAGTCCTCTTCTATAATATGCCATATAATTTTATTGCTTAATTCCCATCACCGTTATTAAAATTCATCTGTCTCAATTTTGCGGTAACAGCTTCAATTTTTTTTCTATATTTCTCATTAGATTCTCTCATCTTTCTTTTAACTCGTTCAATTTCTTCAGGTTTAGAGTTTATTCTCATTCTTAATCTAGCTTCCTCGATTCTCCAATTATCTTGTTCTTTCTTCGATTCTTCGGTTAATTTTAAAAGTTCTTTTCGAAGTTCAGTTGAAGTTTTTGGTCTTAAAAAGAATGAAGTTGACGAACGACGACGATGGAATCGGACTTGTTTTTAAAAAAAAACAAAATGTTAAGATATTAAACAGGATTATTTTTTTTTTAAAAAAAAAAAAAAAAAGTCTTACGAGATGACTCTGGTGGGGAATAAGGTGGTGGTGGAACTTCTGGCACAGAATGTTCATACAAATCTATATGGCATATTAAACGATAAATGAATGTTATTTTTTATGCAAATGGATAAAACGTATTTAATGTATTTAATATGTATTTAATATGTTGTTTGTCCGCATTTAATGTATTTAATGTTGTTTGTCTGTATATATGTGTGTATTATATGTATTTGTTTTTTCTTTTTAAGAAAAAATTATATATATATATATTTGATTTGATGAATTATGTATCCCAATACCACCATCACAATATCATCCAGATCGCTACTTCACTAAAAGAAAATCATTATAAATTTTATCAACCACAAATCGCTCAAAATTGCTTACATTTTATAAACTCTACCACCCGAAATCCTTCATCCTATCACTTTTTAGATGATTTTTTGAATAGCTTAAATTTAAGTATGTTACGTTTACCTGTTTCGGCAAGACCATCACCACCACGATTTAATGAATTTATAACTTCTCCCAAATTCATTGAACGTCTTGAATCGAGGTTGCTATGACTACTTCTATTTCTAAGTCTATTTGTATTTGAATTTGAAGATCCATTGCTATTATTATTATTATTATTATCGTTATTATTATCATTATTATTTGCGTTGTCATTTGAGGATAGAACTGAACTAGGACCAAGACTAAGGGATCTAATTTGCCTTGCAGATATAGTAGCAGAATTTATATTTTGTCTTTGTTGTGGTTGAGGCGATGATTGAGATTGGGAAAAAGTCTGGGGTGTTGAAACTAGTTGATCACCATTTTCACCGCTATTTCCATTCATATTATTATTAATAAAATTTATCCTATTCATATTTGTTTGAATCATCTCAGTTCTTTCATCAATTTGATTTATTACTCCATTGTTAATGTGGTTCATTCCATTATCATCACTGCTTGTATTTACATTTTCACCATTGCGTTTCATTACATTTGCATCATTATAATTCGTAATTCTTCCGCTAATAATTTGGTTTTCTTCATTTTTAATACTATTACTCGCATCACCATTATTCGATACGTTATGATTCATAACATTGGCAGTCACATTATGATTGTTAGTACTATTATTATGATCAAATAAAGAAGTAGACTCATTATTATAAGCCAGTGAAGTAGATCGATTTACAGGAGGATTCTTTTTCGACACCGATGAATCACGTATCGCCGTCTTTAGTATAGGAATTGAACTTGACATTATCGATGATGGTGGTGATGATGGTAATTTTATAAAAGAATTCGAAGTAGACGAATATTGAGATTCTGAAAACGTCGGTAATACTCGTACTGTTTTCATTGTTAACTCTTCATTACTGTTGGTATTGGTTTCTTGAAGAACTGGAGAAACCAAATTTGATCGTGTTCTTTTAGGAATGCATATTTGATTAGTAGATGAAACTAAATTAGCTTCTATTATATTTGCCGGTGTTGAAGAGTCATTCATAATGTTATTATTAACGGTATCGTTAATTTGACGAGAAAGTAATCGTGGGGATTGTGGAGATTGTGAAAATTGTGGAGACTGTGAGGATTGTTGGGTCAGTGGTAAAGAACCATTTGAAGAATGGATTTGTTGTGCAGCTGGTATCTTCGTTTTATGCGAAAGAGACTTGGCTGGCGAAGAATTAAAGCCTTGACTGAAAGTTACATGTTGTTGAAGAACTGGTGAAGGCTGTGGTGTTAATTGTTGCTGTGATTTGTCATGAGGAGGTGGAACAGTTTGTTGTTGAGGCAGGGGATATTGAGGTTGTGGTGGGGATACATAAGAAACATTTGGGGCATTTGGGGCATTTGGGACATTTGGGGCGGTCGATGTAAAAGCATCAAATATCTTCAATCTTAACATACAATACTCTTCCTCGGAGATAAGTGACCTTTCACGAGCATTGTTTAATTCCATTAAACGTTCTGTAAATGAAACATTCATTTTATCGGTTGTAATTAAAATTTAAGAGAAAACTTTGTTCGTTGTATATTCTCCGGAATTGTCTCGATAGTTTATATATCTAATGTCGTTAAGAGAAGGCTTGCCAGCAAACCCTTAAATTTTAAGAGCTTATTAAAATAATGAATTCTTGTAAGGGACCAAAACGAAAAAACTGAATAATGTACTATCTGCTATATTCTTTATACAAATATTTTGTAAATAATCAATTATTGAAAATCTTTCTGTATAAAATAAGTAAGAATGGAGTTATTTCAAGTATGTTGTGACAAAACATTCATTAATGTCGTGTTTGTAGAAGAAATTTTTAAGTACAATATTTTAATTTTTATTTGTTCATTAGAACATTAGAGTTTTTTTACGAGAGCCACTAATGATTTATTTATACTTTTTTGATGCATTTTTTTTTTTTTAAGGTGTATAAAAATAACGCATATATAAGCATATATAGTATTTTGTCACACAATACTTTTCTGAAAAATCACACTCGTTGTACTGTAGCATAATAAATCAAGCACTTAAATTTAATACGAGAAATAAACAGAATTTACAAATTTTGCATATCAAATAATGTCAATGCCTGCAGTATGTAGGTTTTTATTAATCAATTTTTACTTTACGCAATATAAAAAACCGTTAATTCATGTAACGATTTTACGTCTTTAATCAAAATAATTACCAATAAGATAAAAAGATGTGCGTGATTGATTATTCATTGTTGCGTTACAATCCAACATTTTATCATTTTATATTGTTTTGCTATCATAAAAAAAAAAAAACACTTTCTCTCTCGATTCACAAGATTTAATGTTGCGAAGCTACCGATGAAAGATTCGTTTGATCTGGCACATGATCATGGTGGCTTGCATTTTTTTATTTTTAAAAGAATTCACAGGGAGGCTACAAATTAGTCTTTCAGGCTGGCCAGTTGAATCCACTTATCGGCATAATGCATGCATATATTTTTGCAAATCCCATTCGAAAAGTCGATTGCGAATCTAACTTAAGAAAGATTATTACCATGTGTAAAAAATGCTTAAGGCTAATGTCAGTTTGTAACTGTAACAGGATCAAACTTCTTGCGCCCCCTAAGTCTGTGCTATAAATAGATGTGGAGCAATTTAACCTGTGACCTGTTTACTGATCACGTGGAGTATTTGTGTAGAACAGAAAACTCTAAAGGGTGTGCATTTTTACGATTTTGAGTTATACGATGAATACCGATACTCGAGATCGAATCTGTATGTGCATTTAAAGAGAATTTATAGTTCATGCATTCAGAGAATGCATTTGGAGAGGTTTGTAGTTATATGAATTTTTGAGTTACTAAGTTATGAAAATACTGAAATTTATATACTGTACACGTATACGTAATATTTGTTTGAGGAGTTGGCGCTCTCCTAACAGGTTAGCGTATCATGCACATCTGTAATAATAAGTTTAAATTGAGCATATTAATTAATATACTGTATATGTTACTTGTTTAATCATATATACATACTTATCCATTTTAGGCATAGTAATTTTCTTTTGCCATTGAGCAGCAAAGAAATGAATTATTTGTATAAAATTTTTTCTTTGTTATTTTTGTCACTTTTTGTCTCATTTTTATAATAAATGCATACAATATCATGATCATCTAAGCTCAATAATCTTATCGATCCAATGTTCGCCGATCGAACTTTTCAAATCTTTTCCTGATACCATTTTTTTTATTTTCCTTGTTATTTTGTGTACATTCTTCACTATCATACGTAGCATTTAAAATTTTACTTCTTTATATGCAATTCTGTGTATGCCTTTTGTTAATCTTACGTTATCAAGGTTATCTACTAAAAAGACAAATTTATCACTACTGAATTATGCATATAATTATATAATTATAAATTCAATGTTTTAACTATAAATGTAAAAGGGGATAGTTTGCATATCGATATCGATATATGCTATGAATATCCGATTCCAACTTTAATTGGTATTATTACGTTATTGTTACTTTGCACATGTGATAATGTTATGCGCTCCTGCCCTAATGATAGGTTTGAAATACAGATCCCCGTGGTCAGGGTAGAACTAACAATCCCTACTTCTGATAGTTCCAGTACATACTGAGCCCTCGGAAAATATAGTATGTAGATAAATGTACTTGAATTAAATCTTTTATATTTTATTCTATATAAGCAGTAAGTTGCATTCTGCACTCTATAATAAATTTATTTCAGAATCCTATTAAAGAATTCACACGGTGGAAATGCCGAAAACTCGAAACAAATTGTGATCTTAGCCGATCAGGTGGCTTAAAATTTTTAGTCAATCAGACTAGCGAATAGTAAATAAATTGCCGACGTTGGTAATTTTTCAGCTGCCCCAGAATTTATGAAACAGCTGTAAATTACTCCTGGGACAATTGAAAAATTTTCCAATGACCGAATCGATGTTACCGAGTGGGAATCAATAAGTTAACGGCATCGGTCGACATCAAAAACTTATCGATTCAGTCATCGACAATTTTTCTTAGCCAACTTTCTTAGTTATCAACCAGGATCACTAGATACTGTATATTTAAAAAAAGCTATATGAAAAATATATACTGTACATACTACTATGTAACGTTGAGCTCTAAATATATTTTTTTTACTTAATTGTTCCAAATATCTTTAGGATCAGGTGAGAGGTGTGCGAGTTAGTGGCGCAAACCAACTATACTATATTATCCGGCGTTACGCAAAAATTTTAATGTTTATTATTTAAACATTAACAAATTATTACTTCATTCTCGAGTAATCATTACCTTATTCTTGAATTAGTGAATTCTCGCTACCTTATTTTCCTTACCTCATTATTTGTATTTGGTAGATCGGCCCTAGCTTTCTGGTAAGAGCGAGCGCTATAAAATCAGTATATATTTAATATATAATTTACGATCTAAAGCTAAATTTAGTCTCTTCCCATGCTGTAACGGGCTATCACCACCCGGTAGATTCCCACCTGGAATTTTGATTGAATTTATGCTTTGCCAATGACCAAAAATAAAGAAAAAAATTCTAGTCATAATAGTCATAATGGTAGTTAAACCATTAAAAATCAGCTCAGTAGATATTTTTGTTTTCAGGACTAAACAAAGAAGAATGGTTGAACTAATTTTCCGATCCAACAGTCGATTTTATTGATGAGAACTACCTAGTTTATTAAATTTAAACAAATCTAATTATCAGTTATTTATATGTAAATTAAATTAAATTATTGAGAGTATAAAATTATTTAGTAAATTAAAACTTTATATATATACTATCAAATAAAACATCCCAAATCACTAGCTCGTGAGTAGAAGACTATTTATGAATTAAAACTTTATAACCATCTATTATTGTGGTTTGCAAAATGTGAATTTTGCAAATCAAAAAAAAAAAAATTCTGATTCTTGATTGCCAAAATTACTTCTGATAACATATGTATATCAACTATTATATAAAGACTTGTACATATATATATTTATTTATTTAGTATACATTTTTTTAAAAAAAAATCATTTCTAATGGTCAAAAATTATTATCCCAGAACATGCTTTGGATGCACACAGTGTCTTTTATTGTAACCATAAAAAAAGTGTATTTCAACAAAAAAAATTATACTAAAGTTCTTTATGCTTTTACTTTGAAATTTCATGATTCTATCAGTAATAAACAAATTAATTTCCTAGAATCGTAATAATTCTTGTAAGATTGAATTTGTTGTAACATTTAAATTTTCTTCTTGCTCATCATGCAATAGTAAATTTTATCAGGCTAAAAAAGAAACAAATTTTAATAATACGCAATTAAGTTCTTTATTTCTACAAAAGATGCTAAATCAAATATGTTACAAAATAATGAATCTACAACTTCTATTTTGCAAAAAAAAAGGAAATCGGAAATCAGAAATCATTGATTTCTTTTTTTTTTATGATCCGCAAATTTCACATAATTTTGCAAACCGGCAATAAATAAACACCCTTAGTTATTTATACGTAAATTAAATTACTAACCGGTAAGTATAAGCTTATTTTATAAATTATTGCGCTTTGCAAAAAGATGTGACTACAAAGTTGTATGAAAATCTGAGATTCTGTAGATTTTAAGAATCACCAATTTCAAATAAATATAACTGATCGAAAATATGAATTTAGAATCATCTCAAAAATCATGGGGTCACATTCAATGCGCAAAATTGTGGCATGACGCATAGCGATAGGTTACAAATTTCGTGCAAATTTAATAGCATTCCAGCATTATGAAACTTGGCTAGCATTATTTAATCGATTTTCTTTTTTTCGATTAACCAAAAAAAAAAAAATTTAAAATACTATGAAATTCAAAAATAGCGAAACAAGCACTGAATAATGTTTTTTTTCCTCAGCCAATTCAATATAGCATTTAAGAGTTTCGGGTGCAAACTCTGGTCGCAATCCTTTACAAATATCCTTCGCAAGTTTAGTATTAAATTCACATCTATCAAAATGTCTTTGACTAGTCAACATTTCTGCCATAATCATACCAAACCCATAAATATCTGCTGCCTTTGTAAACAGCTTATCGCCTGATAAAACTTTAAATTTTAAATGATAAGCAAATACAGTACTTCAAAAATATCTTTAGTATTAAGTAGTTTAAATAATTGGATAATTCTCAACTTTATACTTATTATTGTTGAGTATATTAAGAAGCCTGTTAGAAAAATTTGCAAGGTTATTTTTTTTAGACACATCATCTTATAAATTATTTAGTTTTTGGTTGTTTATATTCTTATTATGAATTTTTTTAACTGTATTGTTTTGTAGATTCTTAATTAATATAACCTTTTCAACTGATAAAAAATTCATGTATTCCAATATATATAAACAAGTTTTTTTGCCTATTACTGTTAAAAAAATACAGTATATATTTTCTTTTAGTTATAGTATAAG